GTTGTAAAAGATCTGCTCAAACAGACAAACTTCCTGCCACTGGAAGAGCATTAACCAGTGATTATTCTACAGACTAAATCGACTATACTCTGATAAAAAGTTATAAATTACTTTTTTTGTCCCCCGTTTTTGGTGTCACCTAGATCGACGGCACCCTTAGCTTCACTCAGCCCTGTTTGTATGCATCTCTTTTCAATAAAAAGACAGCTTCCCTTTGCTCATTTCCCCGAATCACGAAAGAAACATGTTGTATTGTCATAAAACAAATGTCATCAACTTAAATTACAACATATTTTGACAGTAAAAACAGGAACAGATGCTACGCAGCTGCTCTTGACATGCTTTAAAAATGAGAGATTGATGGTTCTCTCCTAATTTGTATTTTCACTTTGTAATTCATAATTTATGCTACTTAAAGATGTTTGGTATTTTTGATTTATTCTAACTAAAGATGTCTGTACAGCATTGTTTACAAAAGCACATGAATTGTTTGTTAGAACAATCAACACTGCAGGCTATAAAATGTTTGGATAGGATTACAAATTGAAATTAGTCACCAGTTTAAAAAGTACTTAAGTAATTATTATGTTTCAGCAGGAAACATTTTATTTAACCATAGGTGATGCATGAAATTGCTTCTCAATCTTACAGTTGATCATTATTTTTTAAATACTTGGGTTCTATAGAAAAGTGATTAGCAATAAATATCTAAAATGTTTGAGATAGCTCTTTTGAATGATCCCAGTTTGTAGAAATGCAGTTTAATTAGCAAGCTAATGGCTAATCTGAGCTGCAGCTCCAGTCTCAAACCTCGAAATCTCCAAACTCAAGTAATTCAAAGAGCTATCTACATCCTTTAATTTATTCTTTCTAATCTTTTCGCAGAAAACTTTAAAATATCTTAAATATACCGTTATGTTACGATAAAAACTTAACCTTTTGGATTTTTTAAAAAGAATTGTTTCACATTATTGTCTTCTCTATGCTACTGAACTGAAGTGGAAAACTTTCCAAATTCTGCATTTCTAATCCCACTGCGATGCATTAGAGCTTAAAATGATGGGAACCTGCACATCTGTGACAAATCTTTCAATACTGAATGTTTTGGAGCAACAAACGCTGGCATCCTGATGATGTATTTTTTCGGAGGAAATGTCTTTCATTATAACAAGACTCTGCAAATCCACATTCTGCGCTTGACAAACACGATTTAGCAGTTAGAGTTTGCATGCTGAAGAAGCCTGCCTGCAGTGCAAACCTGTCACCCACTGAAAACCTTTGACAGGTTGTAAAACTATTAAACACAACAGCAGATCTGAGCTGTTATGTCAAAATAGATAGATGGATGTCAACGCTACATCATCTTCAGTGTCTTAAAGGGACAGTTTAAATCTTTTGAAGTGAGGTTCTCTGGAAAATCTATGAATAATTATTACCTGACATTTAACTCTTTGAACAGCCTCAGTTTGGAGAATTTAATTCTGGTAGAGTTAACCAGCCAACAAGTCCAGTCTCAAAAAATGGATATTCCAGCACAAATTATGAATACTCCTGCCTATAAACCACCATATAATTTTATCTAGATAACATTATAATGAAGATTGATGGTAAAGTAACATCTCAACATTTATGTTTGTTCCTATGCTACTTTTTAACGCAGCCCCATCAAATGCTGTATATTAAGAGCTGTATAACAGTTTTTTCTCTCTACGAATAAACATGTATGAATCAATGAAAACACATCAGTCATTGGTGAATCATGGCTGGGACCATGCATGGTTACATCCTCTGCCAACTTAACTAGTCACAAAAATTCTTGGTAACGCTTTCTTTTAAAGTGCACTTATTACCATGTAATTACAAGGTAATAAAAGATGTAATTAAATTGTAATTACTACCTTATTACTATGTAATTACATGGTAATTAGGGTACAATTTTACTATGTAATTAATCGTCTGCACTAATGAGCAATTATCTGGTAGTGTATTACAATTCACAATGCAACACCTAAATAAGTAGTAGGTAATTTGGACAGTTTTAAAGTTATATTTTATTGCAATTAACCACTAACCCCAAAACTTAGTTGCATTCTTTTGGTTATAAATATAGTGTTGAGTTACTATTGAATAGTAATTTGATTGTAGTTACCCAATAAAGGTAGTTTTACTAACAGTAGTTTTTCTTTTGTACTGTAATTACCATGTAATTACATGGTAATAAGGGTTCCGTAAAAGAAAGCATTACCAACTTCTTTTTGTCACTTATTTTGTTAAACATACATCACATGTCTCAGCTTGAGCCTGTGGTTGATGGATTGCTGCACCCGCTAGTTTGACTGACGAATGGGTTTGGCTCGTCTTATATAAACACATAAAGTGTCGGCTGTCAATCACCGCGTGAACTTCAAGAAACTTCTTAAAAACATGATTAGGTTTTCGAATTGTGTTTGTTGAGAGGCTCAAACTGCAKAGAGCTGTTCGGGTGTAATTTGAAATTCATGTTTAAGCTTAAGATTCAACTCTATTTTCCAGTTCTGATAAGGACCAGCTTGCCGAGGAGGAAGATGATGAGCTGAAAGAAGTGCTGGATCTGAGGAAAATCGCTGTCCAGCTTCTGCAGCAGGAACAGCAAAACAGGTGAGTGGGACTCCAGTAGACTTCATTTGGTGCTTAAATTTGCTTCTGGCTCGTCTTCGCTCAGGTGTGGGTCAGTGTGTCAGGACAAAGGAGCAGAAACTAAAGACCCTTCTCCTTCGTTAAGTCTTACTTTCATCGCTTCGTGTCTTTTCGCTTCTACTCAAGTGTAGGTGTGTCTCCGTTGGGCTGTGTCCCTCACTCTGTGGGCAGATTGTCAGCTGGGATTTTATTGTCGCGTAGTTTTTCTCTATTTAATTTGATGCGGCACTATAAGTGTGCGTGTAACATCATGTCAGATTGCTCTGTTGCGCTCAAGCTGTTCGCTCGTCTCCTCAAACAGATAAAAATGTTTGAGTGTTTGAAGTTCCGCCTTGACTCAGTCAGTCCACGGGCAGCAGTCTGCTGACGTCAACGTACCGCGGCTGGGCTGGACCCAAAAACACAGTCGGCACTGGAAATGGAGACACATTTGGCCAAAGCTGAATCGATGAGCAGTGCTTAAAGGGATGAAGGGGCTTAACTGAGGAACACAGGAAGACAAAGGAACAATGTGAACACAAAGTAAATAAAGGAACTATCATCACAGGGAATAAGCATAAAAATACACCTTAAATCAAAAACTAAACGCTAAAAATAAGCAAGAACCATGACAGAAACGTCAAAAACAAAACAAAACAAAACAAAAAAAAAATCAAACATGCTTAAAAACAAATGAAATGCTTCAGTTGTGCTTTTGTGTCTCTTCAAATCTTTGTGATCTTTAATTCATCTCTCCATGTTTCTGCTTTTTTCTCCTCTTTCTGCTTCTACACTGATGTGATGCTTTTAGACGACGATCCTTAATTTGCAGAGCAGAGAGTCTTATTCACCGACGGAGAGTGACCGGCAGGGCACACAGGTATGTGTTTTAATATGTGTTTTGTGGATTTTGTTTTTTTTCTCGACAGCTTGCATCTGAGAAAGAAAAAAAAAGCTAAATTCTTGGCTGGTTATACTAGCACATCCAGTGTGCTTATCTTGATAAGTGTTGCATGAACTAGTGTTGTTATTATAAGCCGACAATGAAGAACGTTACTTTCATCATGCAGGGAAAGTTTAGTGCTGCTCAAATGGTGAAATTGTGACCTAGTAACTTATTAGGAAAAGTACAGTATTACTGCCAATGGTTCAAATCTGTCATCATTTCACAGGAACTGTCCTTGTTTTACCTCTGCCTCTTTATGTGCTTGTAAAATGAACTCTACCCGCCTGTTATTTTTTATTTTTTAGATTTCTGAGTCACTCTGGGAGCTCCAGCAGCAAACGACTGCCACCTCAGACTGTTCGTAGGTACGAGCAACTCTGCATGCATCTCAACAATTAAGTTATGCAAAACAAAAGCACACATCACCTACACACGTACACATAAACTCACACACAGTCATACCCAAACATCCCACCTAAAACTGAACACATGCCTCTTTTGAATGTTTCTTTTTCTTATTAAGCCTGGCAAAGACATCAGATTTTAGGGATGGTCATTGTCTCTAATCTTTACCCCATTGATGGCACCCCTGTATGTCAGACAGACCCACCTGAGTTTTTGTTACTGATGTCAGGACAAATCATTTCAGCATTGTTGTTTAATTTAATTTTTGAAGCCACGATCAGACTGACCCTGGTACCTATGTTCCCCTGTACCCATGTTCCCTCGTACCTGTGTTCCCTGGTACCTGTGTTCCCTGGTACCAATGTTCCCTGGTACCAATGTTCCCTGGTACCTATGTTCCCCTCTGTACCTATGTTCCCTGGTACGTGTGTTCCCTGGTACCTATGCTCCCTGGTACCTATGTTCCCTGGTACCTATGTTCTCTGGTACCTGTGTTCCCTGATACCTCTGTTCCCTGATACCTGTGTTCCCTGGGACCTATGTTCCCTGTTACCTATGTTCCCTGATACCTATGTTCCCTGGTACCTCTGTTACCTGATACCTATGTTCCCTGATACCTATGTTTCCCCATACCTATGTTCCCTGGTACCTGTGCTCACTGGTACCTGTGTTCCCCCATACCTATGTTCCCTGGTACCTGTGCTCACTGGTACCTGTGTTCCCCC